CAGGCAGTCACACCTGTTTTCCCACACCTGAAGCAGGATGGGACAAAGCTCAGTGCATCTGCAATAGGCTCTTTCCCTGAAGCATTGCGAGGACACTTCTTGGCAGTGTGTTGCTCGCCACATGCTGTACAGCGTGCCTTATCCTTGCAATACTTAGCTACATGGCCGCTTCCCATGTAGTTGCAGCATAAGACAGGGGATGCTCTCCACAGCCGGACGTGGCTGGTGGGCATGCACTTTCCGAAGAATTTGTATGTACTTGAAGGGGGTTGCTCTCCTTTCTATATGATGTGGATTCGGTTTAATGGTTGGCCATCCTTGTACACTCGAATGGCCTTGTGAACTCCATCGAGTGCCCATGCGTTTTCAAGGTCAAGGTCCTTGTTATAATGTGTGACGAGGTATTCGTCATATTTTTCTGATTTCTTTTTTCATATGAATTGAAGGTAATGCCTCCAAAAAGTCCTCCAGTAAGGCTTTCTATAAAATTCTGCTGTGAGCGAGGGACATAGATATATGGTGAGGAGAGCGTGTCCCCTCGCACAAGGTCAGTGTTTACTTTGCGGTTTTCCCCCATCGTGGGGTTGGTGACCGCAGCGCCTGGCGTGCCTGGCTCGCCCGCTTCGTGACAGGTTAATTGTGGCGCTCGGTACAACAGGGCACTCAGTTCCAACGGTCACTAACACAGTACTTGGCACTTGGTGGAGGAATGAATTCAATTGAATTTAAAACATGACCATGATCACATCACTACTCCCATGACGTTTCAATTGCGAGCTATATGCGCACCAAAAGATTCATGAACATGTACAATTTCCTCATACATGACACCAGAGCTCCATGTATAAGGGACTAGGGCACCAGAGCAGGGCACCACACGACCTCTTCGTGTGAGGTCACGGAGTGTACTGAGTCATATATATATATAATTTGTGTGAATATATATATATATATTGTAAGGTTCTCATCTAGCTTAAGGCCAGATGTCATTTGTGAAGGAGCCTGAAACACTCCTGTGAAGCAGGAGAGGCTTAGTGACCAAATAGGAAGGAACAAAAGGGTCCCGTTCACTCCTCGAGAAGAAAAACAAACAAAGACTGGAAGCTAAAAGAAAGCCATGGGTAAACTTCTAGATTATGTGGAAATAGCTCAACTATTGCTTCCACATATGCTATTATACGGGCAGTGCTTGAAAACAATAAAAGAGGCCTTTTCATACATATACCATGAAATTGACAAAGAAAGGGGATAGCGAAGTACAAACAGAAGCAGTCGCAGGCGAAGAGGCAATAGCAGTAGAAGTAGAAGCAGAGGGAATAGTAGCAGTAGAAGTAGATAGTAGCAGTAGAAGTAGAAGTAGAGGAATAGTAGCAGTAGAAAGTAGAGGGAATAGTACAGTAGAAGTAGAAGCAGAGGAATAGTAGTTATAGTTGGAAGTAGTAGTAGCAGAAGTGGAGGGAGTAGTACGAAATTAACAAAGTAAGGTGGGTAAAAGCAGCAAAAACGAGTAAAAGCAGGAATAAAACAGATCTAAAATACGAAGGCAGGTAAGTTATAGTTAAAAGCAGCACTAAAACTTAACTGAAATCATAAAAGAGAGATTGAATAAAAGCAGAAATAAAAACGAAAACAGGTAAGTAGTAGTAAAAAATAGTACAAAACGTAACTGAAATCGTAAAAGTAAAGATTCGGTAAGAGATGAAAGACTAAAAGCAGAAGTGAAAGCAATAAACCAGTAAAAGCAGAAGTGAAAGACATAAAACACAGGTAAAGGACACCTAAAAGAAGTAAAATATAATTAAATAATGGGTATTAGGTTAAAACAACATAAAACTTACTGAAACCTTCATTAAAAGAGATAAATAAAAATCAAATGAACTTAGCAGTGAATGGAATACTTTCTTGAAGAGGCTCAGCAAATAAATACTTATAAAACGTGATAACATGACAGCTACTGAATACCGGTATACTTGGAAAACGTAATATTTAAGTAACCAATGCCTCACTGATTTACACGCTTAACGTCCAGCATAAATACAACCTAGGCAAATAACAGGAATGGACTGGTACAACCTTTGGTGCTGTTCAGCAGAGAAGAGGGTAATCCAAAAGACAGTTTATTGTCATGGAGCGCGGGTAGTCATTGACTCATGACGTCACAAAAAACGAATCATTTCCAGAATAATTTACAATAAAAATCCAACTCAATCAGAATACATGATAAAAGCACAAGATACTAAAATATTCACATAAAAACAAAGTAAAACACCATAAGAATACCAAATAAGAAAAATATATGTACATCAATAAAAATCAAACTAAAACAAAGGACAAGAAAGACTCCAGTAATAAATAAAAAATCAAGGAAATTATATAAAACGATAACATAAGTATTAAAAACTAATGATAGAACAGTTAAAATAAAACTGAAGATAATTACTTGGCAGAAAATGACGTGCCATGTCACTGACCGCGAAATAAATTAATTCATTATAAAGTTAAAA